TTCATCTCTTTGCTTACTTTGACTCGTTCCAAAAACTGAAGTGCCTTTTCCTTTGCAGCTTCAAATCCTTCTGTTATTATTCTGGGATGAAGACCCTATAATACACACAATTACAAAACCACTACTAACACTGGAGTTCTTCAATTAGATGGAACTATATAGTTTATGATAAAGTACATTTCTGAAGATTTATTTTGGATCATTCACACCCTTTAATACAATTAATATAGTGTGCTGACTTTCTGAATACATTTAAAAGGAAAAATAGTCCTTTCAATGCAGAGGAGAAGAACAGACATTGCTTTAGCACAGGGTCAAAGCCAAGGGAACTATAAAGCACACTTGGGTGTTCACTGTGCAAATTACAAGGAATAATGACAAAAAACTCAATGTGTTACAACAACCTGCAGCCAATAGGACCATTATTATCTTTTCTATAGGTAATCTGAAATGAATTCTATAGGTAACCTAAAATCATTTACTATTAAGTAGTAGGCAGGGAGATTAAGAGTCTGTCTCCCGTCTTTCCAGGAAGTTTTTCCTGACATCAGATTAGTATTTATTAAGGTTTGCTTTAACCTTGGAACTATTCAGGGCTAAAAAAGTTGTAAAATTCTTAAAATTTATTTTTGGCTGGCCTTTTCCTTATAAATATGCCTAGTCCTGATTTCAATTATTAATCTACATTATAGATGGATATGGATACACACACACACACAAATGCAACTTGATTTAAAAAAAAAAAAAAGGAAAGAAAACTTCAGGCCAAGGAAGGTTCCTTAACTTGTCTAGGTTCACAATAAATTTGTGTCAGACCAAGATTAAAGACTCTGGTTCCCAGAGTTAAGCCCCCATACTCTTCACATTCTACTATATGGCCTCAGCTACTATTAACACATCAATTTGTATAAATAAAACTCAGATTATTTCCTATACACAGTAAAGTATCACAGAAATACAAGAATCGTGTATACTTCAGAAATGTAGAGATCCGCCTGTTTCAGCAGTTCTCCAATGATTAGGACATTGGAAGTGGTACCATCACCAGTTATGTCATCCTGGGCTGTTGCTACTTTGGCTATTAGAGAGGCTGTTGGGTGTTGAATTTGCTGAAAATATAAAAAGAAAAAAAAATTAAATAACAATCCAAATATACCTTGAAATTTGTTAAAGGCCTCCTTAAATGCTATCTATTTGCACAAATTACCCAAGTGTTCAGCTACATATTACTTTGGTTAAGAAGTCACCATTACCAAGGCCGGCCGAGTGGCTCAGTTGGTTAAGAACTCGCTCAAGAGTTTGAGCTCTGAGCAACAACAGTACGATTCCTGGCCGGAGCTGAGCAGCCGCTGAGCTGCCAGCCGGTGGCAAGGGGCTCAGCTTAAAAAAAAAAAGAAGTCACCATTACCTATTTTGCATTATCAGTTTCTGGAAACCAAAATATTGTCATGTATAAATTTGTTTACCTCTCAAGGTATCTCCACTTTACTGACTAGGAAATTTGAGGCTCAGTAAAGGGCTCTTGGTGGGAATAAACCAGGTGCCTTCTAAAACAAAGTGCAGCAGCCTCCAATATTACTTGACACCAAATAATAAGAAAGTAATAGCCCTCCTAGCAAAGGTCATCAGTGGAGGCTAAATCACTGTAAGGAAAGGCTTTGGAAGAACAGGATATTCATCAAGTCTCCAATGTCACCCACAGATTCTTAATGACAAAGGATCCAATCAAGGCTCCTGCACTGCTTTTGGTTTTCACCCTTTAATCTACAACAGTTTTCCAGCCTTTTATGTCTTTGGGGTCACTGACAGTTTTAAGAATCCAGTCCATTCACCTTGCAGACTATCTCATTATCTAATTTGCTGATTTACTATTTTTGGAAAAACCACTACACTATACTTGTTTTCTTTATAGTTTCCTGTTAAGCTGTAAATACTTAATGTGCTTCTCTGTTTATGCTGTACTTCACAATTTAAAAAATCAAGTAAAAAAAGCCATGTAGATACAGCTTTTCTGATAATAAGTTTAAACTACGACTCCAATTGTTCTCAGCCAGCACAGGCTACCACTTAGATTTGGATGTTGAAGGCACGGTAGGTACCCTATTATCAAAACCCTACATTTTATTAACTCAAAACACAGGCAAGTCATTTCCTTTTCTTGGATTTGAACTGCTGGTTTTGGGAATTTAGGGATGTGTAAAATGATTGATCCTCTCAATAATCTCATATTCTTGGTCACGGGACTTTTACAATGGTTAAGCTAGGAGTTTTAGCTCCCCTCTAGTTGGAGGTGGAGTTGAGAGGTAACAGAGAAATTGCTGTTTTAAAAAGAGATCAAGTATAAACAACCTGTCTCATTCTGCCTATGTGAATGTGTTAATCGCTTGGTTTTCCAGGATCAGAATTTTAATAATTACAATCCTTTAAGGCCTTAAATGCCAAGACTAGGTATTCATAAATAAGTATCAGACTCCAGGGCTCCTCACTGTAACATCCTGTGGCTACCATTACTGATTACATTCCTTTTCTAGTCTCTCCATTGTCTGGAAGAAGGCCTGTTGAGAGGTGGTGAATATTATTTCCTCCTACCTTGAGAATAAACATTAAACATCTTCCTACAAATTAAATGTACCATAGCAAACCAAGACGTTTTGAACGTATAGCAGCCTCTCACCATTTCATGAAGCAGCACGTTGCCATCTTTAGTAAGTTTGATGTCTCCAGCACCAGAAACAAGCCTGTTCAATGGACAGAAACGAAATCAGTGTTACTTTTTCAATGGAGACCAAAGTGACTCCCGTCAACACCGGGCTTTATCCAGCTCCTACGGAGCCGCGCGGCCATTAAGTTGGTTGTCCTCTCCCGGTAATAGGAATGGCGCAGTGCCCACCCCCTCCCTTCTGAGAAAGTGTGACGCGCGTCCTCAGGGTCGCTGAAGTCCCAGAGCACTTCGGAGGGCCGCGCACGAGGGCAGCTTTGTTCTCCGCGGAGGCTGCATCGACTACAACAGGAAACCGCCGGGGCAAGAAACAGGCCTGACCTGGAAACCTGGGGGTTAGGGGACGCAGCGGCGGTCGCACAGGCCCGGAAGCAGCGTGCTGGAGACCACGATTGCCGGCATAACGCTAGCGGCTGCACTAGGTGCGCGGTGCCCGCCCGGCCCTCCCCGCCAGCCCCGCCTTACATCTTCATGGTGCCCTTAGGCCCCAAGTTGGTCCGCAACACGTCCTGAAGCCCCCGGGCCGCGCTGATGTTGACCGCCAACGCTGCCTGAGCCCNTTTGTAGCTGAGCCATCCTGCCACCTGTTGGCAGCTCAGCTCCGGCCGGGCCGGGAATCGAACCGCTGTTGCTCAGAGCTCGCACTCTTGAGCGAGCTCTTAACCAACTGAGTCACTTGGCCGGCCCAACAACCCTACCTTGTACAGAAAATCTGCAGAGAAAATGCCTCAATAGGCAGGCCATCAAACGGTGATTACCTTTTTAAAAAAGTTTTCAAACTAGGTCTTTGTAATATATTTTTAAATTCCCCAACAGTCTCCCATTATGCTTTGCATCCAAAAGTTCAATAAATGCCAAATAATTGATATAGGTCATTTTTCTTAATCATTCTGATTATAAACACATGCCATTAACTTCAAGAGGTAATACTACTGAGTAAATTAAATACTCATCTAGGCAATACACATTAATTCAAAGCAAAAAAAAAAGAAAAAAAGGAAAATCACTCCCAAAATATGTATTGTATAATGCGCCTATAAATTTGTAAACACGCTTTATAAATATTTTATAGTATTCTACCACCTACCTTGTGTCAGTTTCAGATTTATGTTTCATTTCCATGATCTCAACCATGAAGAGGTCAATAGGTTCATCTTGTTTTTTAATGGCCAAAATGGAGTCAACTACAGCCT